TGTGTGTGTGTATGTGTTTGTGTGTTAGTGTGTTTGTGTGCGTGGGTGCGTGTGCCTGTGTTTGTGAGCGTGTATGTATGTGTATGTGTGTGTGTTGTGTGTGTGTGTGTGTGTGTGTGTGTGTGTGTGTGTGTGTGTGCGCGCGCGTGCGTTTGTGAGCGCGTGTGCATAATTGTGCGTGCGTGTCTATTTCTGCATCTGTGTTTGTATATCTGTACATGTGATATTCTTAGCATAATACTTTAATAGACAACAACGATACTGTTATCTCTTGTGTCTTTCTTTTGTGTGTTCACCCTCATGTATTGAGATGAGAAACATTAATTAACAGTAGATTTGAGTCTACTTAATTGTCTCACGCAAACTTCTTCAAAAGTCTGATTTGAAACAGACATCGACATCATAATACGTGTATACAGTTTAATTACTGTCTTCTAGAAGTATCTATCAAAAGATATCGGGCCTATTATTATCCTTGCCATTTGGTGTCATCCATATTCATATACGTAAGAGTTTTACGGCACTTATAGCACAATAAAGTCATATAAGTGCCGATAATCAGAGGTGTTACAAATGAGTTAAAAACACAAAAAACCAAAACCACAAAAAAAAAAAAAAGGAGGAGAGGTAGGGGCAATGGATGTGTAATAGGAAAGAAGGAGAAAACCCCAAAAGAGCATCCGCCAACCACCTAACTGTTCAGGTTTTTCATGGCAAAGTTTTTTCTTGGAAGACACTAACATATTACAATAATGTGCTCATGAGGAAAAGACTGACCTAACTCGACTTTGAGTAGTTTGAATAAAACCTACGGGGCAGGAAAATTAAGCTTTATCAAATATTTCGGAAAGACTATAAATTTGACCTCCCAAACACGGCTTTGCGCATACTATTGAGGGTCTTCACAGTTTTTCTGTAAGACAAAAACCATAAGGAACCCTTCGCTGACTCTAAATCTACGTATGTGTACTTAGTCAAGTCATTTCCGAACGGAGAGTACAATTTAACTTTCACTAATATTATATGTGTCACGATGTCGCTACCTCAGAATTACACCGTTCTATTAGCACAGTCCAATTTTTTTACGTTTCACAGTATGTCAAGCCTTTTCTAATTCCATTCTTTGAATATCTTGATGACAACTCCGAATAATCTTACGATTTTGACAGAGCGGATAAAACATTTTGCTTTCTGACCTCATGGTCTTAGTAACTCAAAATGGCCAACTATGTTAGAAATTCTGATGCAGCAATGTGCTGGAATTATGTACTCGTCAATTTTTGGGCATTTGGAGTTATTGATATCATGGTATCATGTCATGAAAGCATGATAATTTATCTTTCTTTTGATGAAATAATACCCATGGGAATGAAGGGGGCATAGGTCTCTTGGTTTCAAAGGTAGAATCAGTGAAATAATGGCTGCCAGTTTAGTGACTTTCAAAGCTTGAGTGTTTTAAAACTGCAAATTTACATTTATTTTGTGCTGTCGGTCAACGTTTTTCGGTACTATCTTCACAGAAATGTGTTTTTAAATGGACATAAAAGGTGTTGAGCCAAGACCAGAAAATTCGAGATGATTTGCCCAACGACCAGCAAAATGTCGGGTTTTTAATTTCGTTATTTGACGAACATCTGATTCCCCACGATGTCACACATGTATTCCAATGCCTAAGAATACTTAAACAATAGCCCACCCTGTTGGAAATTCAGGTGTGATCTCTGCTTTCTATGAAGACAAATGGAGCAACAACGATGCTTAATTATTGATGGATATTGGAACAGATTGAACAACGCTCGCACAGCTGTTGACACTCATCCTGCTAAAGCATTATGAATTGTGATTTTCACTGACTCACTACCAGCCATATATAAGTAGGACAAAATAGCAACCATTAACTCAAGATCTAATCCCTGCTACTCTCTCTGGCTGCCGCCATCAGATAAAATTATTTCGCTCGTATTATCCAGGTGGTGCAATGGATTTCCGGACACACGAACACACTTGGGAATGACAGAACCGAAAAAAACCTTGCCAAGCGGGGATCAAGACAGGAACTACATCCCAACACTCCAACATCATATCACACTGCCAAACACATCATCAAAAGCAACAAGGAACAGACTGGATTTACAGACCGGTTTCTTTCATGAAAGACTCGCAGAGCAGTTTTTAAACATTTGACTTCGACGAAACGAAATGCCAACATCAACCACCTTCAGAGAAAGGAACCGATCACAGTTTTCCGTCGTCTACTTCCACTTAAATAAAATAAAACCCCAAGTTCCATCAATGAGTCCTTGGTGAGACCTCACTTACGAGACTTGATAAGAGAACTGTTCCACTAAACAGCCCTAAATGACACTAGAACTACGCTACTCAGCCTCGAACTACCATCCACAACACACTCAATGGAGCATCACAGCAAGTGCAGCAAACCCTATCACTTCTGGGCATTGAACACAAAGAGGAGAACCCAGCTGTTGCTGGATCGATAGCAATAGCTTCTGTGTTTAAGTTAAAAAAATATATGAATAAGATAAATCAATGAATAAAAATAAAATGAAAGCGGATAACCACCTGTTGATACATTTATCCCATTTTTGTCAGAGGTGTAGGGCCTATATAGAATTGAACCTCTTTGAACAGTTTATACGATAGGAAGATTAGGTCTCTCAATTTTTACAGAGAAGAGCATGCTAACTGCAACTGAAAATATAAATTTTTAATTGTCTCATCTTCTCTTTCCCTCTCTGTCGTCTTTGCCTGTGTGTCTGTCAGTCTGTCTGTCAGCCTCTCTGCTTGTCAGTCTAC